GCTCTGTGCTGTTGTTCCCTTCCTACAGATGTGCACCACAGCATCCTTTTCGTGGTCCCCAGGAATCAAATTCAGGGTGTGAGGCCTGCAGGGCTAACACCGTGACCTGGCAAAGCTATTTCTCTAGGCCTCCACTTTATTTTGGGGGACAGAATTTCTCACTGATGCTGGAGCTCATCACCTTGGCTATACTGCCTCCAGAACTGGGGTACCAGATGCAGGCCTCTACACCTGGCTTGTATGTGGGTAATAGAGATCTGAACTGGGGTCTGAAGGCTCACGTGGGAGCCACTTTACTGACCGAGCCACTGCTCAGCCCCCGTCTGCTCCTTTACTAAACAAAGCAAACAAAATTCAATCCATCTAATTCCAGTGGTGTGTTTTGGGTGAAGTTTGTTTCCCTGTGGTCCACATTGGAAGCTTGGTTCCAAAAGGGAAGTTCTGGGACGCATCGGGACCAGCTAAGATGTGGAGCTAGCAAAAGGCCCTGAGGTCAAAGGCGGCACTGCCCCAGTGGGATGGACTGAGGTAGCCGGAAGTCATGAGAGCCCCAGCATCTCATTTCCTGTTTCTCCATGTAGGTTCTGGGAGTCGAACTCAGACTTGCTAGACAAGGGTTAAGCTGGCACTTGGATGAGGTCTCTCTGATCCCCAAACAATGTTTTTATTTGTTCGGTTGGTTTTTTGGAGGTGACTGCAGGACTTCTCTGTGTCACTCTGGCTGTCCTGGAACTCACTCTGTAGATCAGGCTGGCCTCAAACTCACAGAAATCCACCTGCCTCTGCCTCTGCCTCTGCCTCTGCCTCTGCCTCTGCCTCCTGAGTGCTGGGATTAAAAGGTATGTGCTACTATATTTGACTTAAGCAAATGGTTTTTAGTAGACGTTTTGTTATTTTGAATTTGAGAATAGCTTTAGACATGTGTATGAGCCTCTATTTCACACTCTCATCACTTTGGTTTTAGTTTTACTTCAGATTAAAAAACTAACAATGCTGGTTTTCCACGTTAGGACAGTAATCAATTAGAAGGTTACCGAAATGTGGTTAAAATGCAGGGTGCGAGCAGCATGGTTCTTTGGCTTCCTTGGACTTTAAAGACAACCTCATTACAGAATTTCAGAAATGAGTTCGGCGGTGCTTCCCTTTAGGTCTCTCCAGTCTGACAGTCATCCAGGGAGCCCTTCCAAAGTCTCTGTGGGAAAAGCCTCGTGTGTGGGCTCTGTAGAGAACCCCGAAACACCACTCTCCCTTACTCTTCATCACCCCCAGACCAGTGTCAAAGTCACTGTCCTAACTTGCTGTCTGCTGTTGTGATAAATACATGATGGCCACAGGTCCCTTGTGGTGTCAAGGCTTTGTTAGGTGTATCTATCTTCACAGCTTGCAGCATGAAGGGGAGTCGGGGCAGGAGCTCAGGCAGGAGACTCAGACAGCGCTGCCTACTTCTGTCTTCCCTAGGAATTCCTCAGCCAACTTTCTTATAGGACTCATTACCACTCTCCAAAGGTTGGCACTGCCCACAGCGGGCTGGGCCCTCCCACGTCAATCATTAATCAAGACAGTGCCCCCCAGAGGCTTGCCAGTAGGTTAGTCTCAACTGAGGTCCCCTCTTCTCAGATACGAAAGCCTTATTGGATCTTTCCTGCCTTTTTCCAGTCAGGCGTGAAGTGGTATTACGCTTTGAATGTGAAATAGCTCCCACAGGTTCACGTGTCTCAACACTTGGTTCCCAGCTCGTGGCACTGTTTAGAGAGGTGGCGGGAACTTTGGATATTTTACTTGGCTGGCAAATGTCAGACCCCAGGGACAAGACTTAGAGGGACAGCACCTCCTCTCTGACTCCAGCCCCCCGCCTTCCAGCCCAGTGAGCTGGACTCTCTACCAAAGAGTCCCAGTGTTGTGAGTGCCACCATGTCTTCCTTACTATGAGGGAGGGCGCTTGAGTTCTTCCCACTCAGGAGCTAGAATAAATATAAAAACGTAAACAGTTTCAGCATGAGTTTGCACATGTTGTAAATTCAGTATGTTTAATAAGGCATCTGAGCTGTGTTAAATATTTTTAGCCCCCCTCTAGAATCCTATTGTTTTTAAATTAGGAAAGCAAAATTTGTATTAGCAGGAAGTGAATCCTGCCCAGGCCTCCTTAAACTAATGCTTATTTCTTAAGCCTTCATGCATTGTTTGTTTTTCCTTTGTCTACTACAGTACGTAAATGATTGTTTCTTTGAGTTTTGTTTTTTTTCAAGTTTTAATTGTGTTTTGTTTTGTAAAAACTTGGATGGCACTAGAAATTGCTTCAAATAAAATTTCATGTTTCTGTCTTGTTAAAAAAATTCTTTTGTCAGAAGGGGGTGGTGCACACCTTTAATTCCAGCACTTAGGAGGCAGAGGAAGCTGGATCTCTGTGAGTTTGAGGCCAGCCTGGTCTACAGAGTGAGTTCCAAGACAGCCAGGGCTACACAGAGAAACCTTGTTTCCAAAAACAAAAAACAAACAATACCAACAAAGCAACAAAACAACCCTCTCCTCCATTGACTTCTTCTGTTAGGTGTCTGGGCACAGCAGGGAGGAAAAGACCAATAGAAATGACTTTCACATTTTTCTCACCAGAAGTCTCACTTGCTGCGGGGATCAGATCCACGGAATAGGGAGGGGCTCTGGACAGTCACCACTACAGACAGCATACTTCACCGATGATGAAGCCAAGACTCAGGACATTGAGTGTTTAAACTGTGCACACTAAAGTTTTCTGGATTTTTTTTTATACTTTCCTCTTCTTGGTTATATTGGTATGATGTGCGGGTTTATGGACTGGTTATGTTATTTCTGTGGGCGGAGCAGCAGAGCCAGTGATAATGATGGTCTTCTAGCCCCGCTTCACAGCGTTTGAAAACAGGTAGCCATGTTCCTTCCCATTCCTGATCCTATCTCTACGGGGCTAAGCCTGGAGCCTTCTTGTGGTTCACTGCCTGGACTATGAAGGGGGTTAACTGAGTCTGCATCCTCATTTTGCCTCTGGCTATCCACTTGACCCTGAACAGTGAGTTGGTTCTGCATAAGTAAGTTGATCTCTCTCTGTCTTTGTTCCTTGCAAAATAGCAAGGGTTTAAATACCTGGTCTACACAGGTACATGCAGCGTGCACTGACTTTCACACGGCTAACATTCAGCAAAGACTGACTATCAGGAAATGCTCACAAATGCTACTGGAGAAATATATATGCTATTTATTACAAAGGAGAAAACTGTTTCAAACCACCCTGGTCCCTGTTAGTCCTGAAGTGCCTCAGTGAAGGGTCCCGTGCTTCTGTAAAGGAAGGAGAAGGAGAAGGAGAAGGAAAAAGAAAAGGAAAAGGAGGAAGAGGAGGAGGAGAAACACACTGTTTTTAAACAGTAGCTCTGGATTATGAAATTTGCATGTATAAGATATGGCTCAACCCCAAATCTTAGGGTAAAAACAATCTAACCACACTATTGGATTTTCTCCTTCAGCTAGTAGCCCAAACACTCAATCTCTCATACACAGGACTTCCCAAGTCTGCACCTCTGTCAAAGAATCTTGGGGCTGACTCAGTGCACTGATATTGCAAAGCCAAGAGGAGACAGAAGTGACACCCCACTCCACTGCCTGCCTGAGATAGCCCCATCAGCAGGCACAGGGGTGAACTGGCAGGCTCATGGCCAGTTCCCAAGTGGAATCCTCCAGAGCTCCGGGCCTGGTGGGTAGCTGGGGGTTAAGGTCAAGGTATATAGCAGCTCTTGTCCCTCAGTGGGACTCCTGGGCCAATCACCAACACTCCGACTCTTCTCAGAACTAGGCCATCACTTTGCTAGCCCCGTCCAGCCATAGAAATAGAGGGTTTTTTTGTTTTGTTTTTTTTTTAGCATTTTTCACTTACACTATGTGTCTGTTCCCACCCAGAACAGACACTGCCTGGCATAGGTCAACCGCAGATGTTTGCGTTGCTCACGGGCCTGAGCAGAGGGCAGAGCTCAGGCGATGGCCTCTTTGGAGACTTCTCCTCAGTTTACAGAAATCCATCTTCTCTTTGGGTCCTCATGTGACTTTGTCACTAAATACACGTGGATGGGTCGATCAACTTCAGCCCGCGATACCAGCAATGAACTCTGCACACCTAGGGGAGAATTAGCTTTCAGGGGTAGAAGTGGTGGGGGTTAGAGGACTGGTGGGTAGCCAGGGTGGGTGACCCTTCCCTTCAAAATAATGAGTGCCTTGTGCTTGAAGTGTCTGCCTGTCCTGTCATGGATCAGAGGGACCGGACTCCAGCAGTTGCAACCGCAGTGAAGGAAACCGACCCGCCTTACTGAGTCTCTCTGGCAGGCAGAGTAGTATAAGCCTCTGCCTGTGCTGGGGGCCGGGTGTCCAGACTGCTCTTGTTATTTTTTTTTCTTTTTTGCCAACACAGTTCATTGACAGTTGCAGTGCACACAGCCACAACATCTGATGATCCTTGGCTCTGGAAACCTAACTCCGCCGATAGCGCCCAGGCAAGCCACAGCGGTCACTCTCTCTCTGGGATCAGTTCCCTCACCCAGGGGGATCACTGTTGGCCCGGGCAGCTGTAGTTTTCTACTTTGTTTCTTTTTCTAGCTGCATTTGTTAATCACCCTGCTCAAAAGTGATACCGAAGAAGAACCGAGAGAGTAAAGTTATACGAAACTGCCTTGTAACCTGCACGCGCGTGCGCGCGCGCGCACACACACACACACACCGCGTCACTAAAACTTAAGCAGAATTGACAGTGACAGCTGCCTTGTAGTGCACAGAGGCAATTGAGCAGTTCTGTTTGGAAACCTCAGAGACAAGCGTATCATTACAGCCTGTCCACTCAGAGAGAAACCTCCTCAACACACCCTCAGGAACAGGCTCAGCTTGCCCGCAGCCAGTCAGAATTCCACCTTGGTCATCAGCAAGGCCCGGCAAGACAAACTTTCTCCATGCTAGGATCCCTTGGCTATATTCTGTGGTCACCTCCATACCGTCCCTGCCCAGTATAGTCTGACGTTTTGGAGCTCAGGCAGAACCAACTCCTACCCTTGAAGAAGAAAAGGAAAGGAATGGGGGCCAAACACTCAAGGGCCAGCTCCAATGACAAGGACCCCAAGAGACTGCTGCTGGGGAAGAGACAGAAGTTCTCTTCGTGGGATGACACCCTGCTCTTGGGGAGGGATCCACGGTCCCTGCTGAAGCGTGGCATGCGACATGTCAGCTTCAGCTTGGTCACCAAAGGAATGACGGACGTTCCCGACTTTCTGTGGGGCTTGCTGGAAGTCCAGAAACTCAATCTGTCCCACAACCAGATCCGAGCCCTCCCTCCTGAGGTGGGCAGGCTGACCCGCATTGTGGTCCTGAACTTGTGTGGGAATCACCTCAAGAGTCTCCCCAGAGAAGTCAGTCTCCTCCAGAACCTCAAGGTCCTGTTCCTAAACATGAACTGCCTGGCAGAGGTGCCCGCTGAGCTCAGCCTGTGCAGGAACCTGGAAGTGCTGAGCATGTCACACAACTGCCTCTCCCAGCTCCCGGCCAGCTTTGCAGACCTCTCCAGACTGCGGAAGCTCAATCTCAGCAACAACTATTTTGCTCACATTCCCGTCTGCGTATTCTCTCTGAAGGAGCTGGATTTCTTGCATGTGGGCTCCAACCGCCTGGAGAACATTGCGGAGAGCATCCAGTGCCTGGCTAGCTTGCAGATCTTCATTGCAGAGAGCAACAACATCCACTCCTTCCCAAGGTCACTCTGCCTCGTCACCAGCCTGGAGCTGCTGAACCTGAACAACAATGACATCCAGACCCTGCCGGATGAGCTCTACCTGCTTTGCCGACTGAGGAGGATTGCGTGGAATCCCATGGACAAAGGCTTGCACATTTCCCACAATCCCTTGTCCAAGCCCCTGCCGGAGCTGGTGGAAGGCGGGCTGGAGATGCTCTACAGCTACTTGAAGGACAAAAAGCACAATTGATGTGGGCGGCGGATGCACGGACATCAGACACATGGACACCAGTCAGTTCACGTGGACTCTGTCAGCTGGGATACTTTCCTTGTCTAAGCGGTTCAGTGTTAGTGTGTGTCAGTGCTGGGCTCCTATTTGCTAAGGTGAGATATTTGCTTTTAACTTGTCTGTCCTTAGTAATGAATATGCTCACCTCACTCAAAGCATGGTTGGGGGCAGGCTTTTGGGTTTTACCAAAATGAATAAATTACTTCAACAGTGAGATTTAGCTCTCAGTAAAGCGAAGGATGGGGCAAACTCAAGATAATTCCAAGCTCAAATGCACACTACTGTGTACTCTGTGATAAGTATTGTACAAAGGATGGAAACCATCTAGCTTTGGGCGGTTTCCACTCCAACCAGTAACCTGCAGCAAGGTGGCAACAGCAAGACAAGTTCCTATGCCAGCCTCAAGCAAGCTTCCCTCAAGACGACCAAAGGGCACGGTGGAGGTCTTTCTGTGCTGTCTAGGACCAAAACAGGCAAAGCTGTCCCTTTGGGATTTGGGGAACTGATCATAGGAGCTTTCCCTTTAAGATGCCTACAGGATGTGTATCGGGCTAGTCATGGTTGTGTGTGCTGGGGGCAACAGGGATGGTGTGCTAGCTTTCAGCTAATAAACATGGATGGCTTCTATGTGGAGTGTTGGCATTCTTTCCCGGTCCGCTCCTGCCCACAGGTGGTCCATATTGCACTTCTTTGCTGTGGATATCAGCCCACAGTCCATGAATCCCGTTCTACATTCACTTCCTCTCTCAGAGATGAGGTGAACCGTAGAGGAAAACAATCACAGTGAGGGAGTGAGGGGATGGTAAGGACAAGCCAATACCCAAATTCATTACCCATTACACACTTGGAAGATGAATATTTGCGGTTTGAGTTTCACATAGGGGCATGTTAAGGCTCCTCGAGCAAACACCTCCAGAAAGGCCCTACACTGGTAGGTCCTTGTTCTGATTTTAAGAGGGCACAGCTGTTAGCTAAATGGGTGCAAGGGCAAACAGTGACAGTGAGCCAGGGTCATAGGCTCTCATTGTCGTTGTGGCAACCAGGCACCTCAAGAGGTCAGTATTTATTTAGGGTTAAAGAGTGAAGATGGGTGGGCCAGAGAGACGGGTCAGCACTCGCTGTGCTTGTAGAGAACCTGGGATCCATTCTCAGCACCCATACGGTAACTCAAAACCGTTGGCACCTCTAGTTCCAGGGGATCTGATGTCTTCTGCTGGCAACCTCTGGCCCCAGGCATGCACGCGGTACACATACATACACGCAGGCAAAACACTCATACACAAAGATAGATTCGTAAAGTAAAGAATTAGGATAAAAATAGGTGACAATGGAGAAGGTACCCACAGGTTCACTGAGAACAGATTGCTCTGAGTTTTGGCAAACCGTTTATAGAAAACAGTAAAAAAAATAAACAGTAAGATCTGGGATCTGCGATGTCAGGCATGACTTTTTAGTTAATTTTGTATTAATGCTCTGAGCTCAGTGGAATTAAGCTTTTATGAAGTAGCCCCTTCTCCAGCCAGGACATGGGACTGGAACTCTGAGGGAGATGATACTCTGTGCTTTCTACCATGTAGATCAGAGTTTGGTGAAAGACACCAACCCTCACGGACCCTCACCAAGCCTGGCAAGCAGAGATCGCCACGAGGCAACTGTATCAAGGCCCTGCGTAGCTTTTCCTGAGCCTGAAAGCCTTGGTAGCGAAGCAAGCAGGGAGCACAGGTGGGGTGACTGATCAACTTCTCCCTGCCCTGCAGTCACCTAACTCCAGCACCTCAGCTTTCTCCCCTCTCCTTGCAAGGAACGAGCAATAAAGCACTGGGGCAGGAACTGACTGCCAAGTTCCCAGCTTAGACACTTTCCGTGTGCAGCTGCCTGCCTTCTTCCCCCTAGAGATGCTCCAAAGGGAGGCCCACACACCTTTCTTCAAAGAGCAAGGGATTTTCCCTCAACAAACCCCAATGCCAATTTTCTTATCCACAAAAGAAGGGAGTCAGTTTCCGCTGGTGATAATCAGTTAACGCTCATCATTAACATATATGTGCACTAGATCCTCTCTTGAAACACTGCAGGCAGAACTTACCTGTGTCTCTTGGAGGCAGCTGGAGAAGCTTGTCCCTCCAGTCCCCAGTAACAGGATACCTGCAGCTCCCTTTCAGCCCGCATGGGTGCACTCCAAAATCTCCACCTCCCCGCTTGGTTTATCTGAGCCAAGACTATTTAAAAACATCAGTGGAATTCTCACTTGACCTCCTGACTCAGTGGGAAATTACAGGGCGAGCTCTGCTCTCCAGAACTGGGCAGGTCAGTCGTCTGCCCAAGCTGTGAGCTGAAGTGCGTGCAGCTGTCAGGCAGGCCCCGGCGTGTGCCAGGATCATGCCCATGAGTGGGCTCTGCTGTGGGCAGCTTTGGCTCCCACTGAGCTTTCGTGACCTTGCTCTGAGCAGAGCCGCTGGTGAGGCCGCGCTGTCCTTACCCTGCTGAGCGATCACTTTGTTTCCTCTGCTGCCTTCTCCGTCATTTGATCCCTCCGTACTCCACTCCTGGGAAAGGCTGTGCCGTATTTTGAAGGTGACCTGTGAGCTCATTGTACTTTTTAAAAGAAAAAAAAATAATTTGGTGGCCAGCTTCTGCTGGCAGCTTTCAGATGTGTGGCGGTGAGATTTTCCTCTGTTCACACTCATCGGGGATCACAAAAGCAAAGCAGCTGCCCGTTGCGCTTTAGATATTGATTCTTTGTAAATACTTCTTTTTATCGATACAGTGTTGAGCCAAATACCAGCTAATGGACTTAGTGATTCAAAACCGTCACCCTTTCTGCCTGTTGTCTCACTCTACACTGATGTCTGCCGAACGCCTCTTGCCTAGCTGTCATGCTTCCCGCGCTGCCACATTCAAGTAAATTCCAGGTGCTCCAGAAACTCCTAGAATCAAAGCGCCGAGGACGACCGCACTGGCTGTGAGCGCACACTGTCAGAGAATAGGAACTAATTGGTGCTTGATGTGGGGGAGCCGGCGGCTCCATTCCCAACAATGTTGCATTCATGTCTCTGGGCTCTCAGTGCACAGGGATGCCAGCGTGGGCTCAGAAATACCTTTTGAAGCAGATGCAACTTCTGCACACACAATTAGGCAAAAACCCTGTGCGCCGAAGAAAGCAGGAAGATTGAAAAGGCACATCTGTTTGTGGAATAATAGCGCTAAATGTGTAATCCATTGCATATTAGACAGGAAAACCATAGTCATCACTCAGCTTGTTGACTTAATTCATGGATGAGAGAAGCGATATATCCCATTCTTGGGCTTTGGTTAATAAACCGATTCTGCAGTCACCAAAGAGAGAGAGACTTCAGGATGGCACACCTGGGTTTCAGAGGGAACTTGTGCCTGTGTTGGAAAGCAGCAAATGTGTTACAGATGCCATTATCCATAGGGATGGATCATAAAAGGAAATCAGATTTTTTTTTCTCAAGCAATGGATGTCTGCATCTTGGAAATACATCTCCGTGAGGCCTCAAAGCACTAAGTGGGTGTGTGTTTTAATAGTCCAGCACAGGGAATAGGACTTAGAAAGGACTGATCACTGGAAACAGAGTCTGATGTTAATAGTCTGAGATCACAGGATCTCAGTGAAACTCACAGGCTGGGAAACCACAGAACGGGTGAAGTCTGCAGACTGGGAAACCACAGGATGGGTGAAGTCTGCAGACTTGGTTGCCATCATATACACAGGCCTAGGAGGGTTCTCCCTTGGTTGGCTGGAATCACTGAGATTCTGGTTAATGGCTAAAAAGCAGAGGATGATGGTGTAGACCTTTAATCCCAGCACTCAGGAGGTGGAGGCAGGTAGATCTCTGTGAGTTCGAGTCCAGCCTGGTCTATGGAGTGAGTTCCAGGATAGGCTCCAAAGCTACACAGAAAAACCTTGTCTCAAAAACAAAAATAAGCAGAGGATGAGTTCAGGAGATTGTCTCAAAAGGAAGCCAACAGGAAGGCAAGGGCATAAGCTGCCAGGTGAGACCACATGGACACACCAGATACTGAGCGATGCCTTAGTGTCTGCTCTACCAGTGTCCAGGGATTACCTGCTATCTCAGAAACTCTCTCCAGTCTTCTATAACATGCATTTGAGAAACAGAATCTCCAGCTTGGTTGCAATGTGCAACCCTTGATGCCGTTGCTTAATCATGATGAATCCAGGAACACCAAAACATGACTCTTCCATGCCCTTTAAGAAAATAAGCTACAGAGGGAGAAAAAAAATCTATTAAAACAATGATGGGGACCATCTTGACCTTGTACAGAAAAAAAACTCTCTATAAGTGTTTCTTTGAAGTCGCCCATCAGGTTATATGTTGAATCCAAAGTGTTGCTAATTAAAAAAAAATAGACAGTGCAGTCATAAAAAGGGGAAGCAGAGAGGCCTCGTAATGAATCTGGAAGAGTTTGGGCATCATTAGGGCAAGCATAAGTGGAAGCCATTAGCATGTAGCTTGCTATGCAGATTCTTGAGTGGTTGAGTGGTGTCCTAGGAATCTATTTACAAGAAGACGACATATTTCCTAATGCTCCTACACTTTTTATCTTGGCACAGGGCAGAAAATAAAAGGCGAACTGGAGTGGGATCAAAGCATGCCCTGGTACTAAAGAAAGGAACATACACCATGGACAGTGCGCTGGTGTTGCCTCTGGTGGCGAAGACCAGAGCTGCTGAGGGAATGGCACACGGTCGCCCATAGTCTTCAGTCTTCAGTGACTCGAGTTCCTCAGTTGTTAGCGTGATGGCCATGCCACGTCAGGACATCTTTGGACTCTGTAATGTCACTGCACTGTGCACCCACACTGCCGAGCTCAGGACAGAGCCAAGCATGTGAATGGCGCCAGCACCTGCTTTGTACCTATGTGCCCCGAAACTGTCCCTATGCTAGTATTATGAAGACGGGACAGGCTACCAGCTCCAGGTGCTCTCTAATCCATGGGCAAAGGAGATGAGGCATGCCTAAAGGATGTATTGTTGTGGCCCAAACTACCTAAGAGATGTGTCCATGAGTGTAGAATCACTTGGGAAGGTTGGGAGGTGGCAATGGT